ACGCGAGTCACCAACGCGACGACCGGCGACGGCATGGTGAACGCGCACATCACGACTGTAGGCGCGCAGACGAGGACGACCGGCAGTCGTACGCATCGTACGCATCGCGGGCTTCACACGATGAGCGTCGGGCACGACGCGATGACCGAGAGCGCTACCACGAGGGCCGACGATGCCACGAACGACGGGACGAGGGACGTGCCCGATACCACGAACGCGATGATCCACGGGACGATGGGGCGAGCACACAGCCAAAAATTGTGATGCCCACGTTCACGGGGACAGATCCGGACGCATGGTTGAGTCGGGCTGGGCAATTTTTTGAGATCAATGATGTGCCAAGGTACGAACGAGTTCAAATTGCTGCCTATCACCTTGATGGGGAAGCAAACGTTTGGTGGCAGTGGATGATGCACAAAAACCATGGCGAGTACATGCGATGGAGAGATTTCGAAAAAGAGCTTATCACGAGGTTTGGCTCGAGTGACTACCACGACTACAACGAGGCGTTGTCAAGAATCAAACAAGTGGGTAGTCTGAGAGATTATCAAAAAGAGTTCGAGCGAATCGCTAGTAGGGTACGAGATTGGCCCGAGGCTGCGTTGGTAGGAACGTTTGTTGGTGGACTAAAGGCTGAGCTGGCAGCCGAGGTAAGATTGGACAGGCCAGGATCGATGCGAGCGGCTATAGAGTCGGCCAGACTGCACGAAGATCATCTCGTGGCAGTACGCAGGGCGAAACCAAGCGACGTGCGCACGGAAACTAAGCGCACACACGTCACGACCGAGGAACAGCCGACGCAAACCGAAAGCAAGCCAGGGGGCGAGATTGTTCGAACAACGAGCAACATACGACGACTTACCGACGAAGAGATGCAACGACGGCGAGAGAAAGGCCTTTGCTATTCGTGCAACGAAAAATTTACGCCAGGCCACAGGTGCAAGGGTAAGGAGGTCTTTTTGTTGGAATTTGAGGGAGAAGAAGAACCAAGAGAGGAATCCTTATTACACATGGTTAAGAGTAAGAAGCGTGGTCCGAAGATGATCACATTCACGGCATAAGTGGGAGGAAAATTGGTGGAGGTGTTGGTCGACAGCGGATCTACGCTAAACTTCATTGATGAGGAGTTGTCCAAGGAAATCGAGATTCCATTCACCAAAGTGAAACCTTTTGGAGTTAAGGTTGCAAACGGGGAAACACTACGAGGAGATATTCTATTCAAAGGTGTAAAGTTGAGGGCTCAAGGCCAAAGGATGAGAGTAGACCTCTATGCATTGCCATTAAAAGCAACTGATATAGTGCTTGGATGCCAGTGGTTGGAGACCCTTGGTCCAATCACAACTGATTATTGGAAGGGAACTATGGAGTTCGGGAGATCAAGCAAGAGGATTAAGTTAAGGACTGAGGATCCAGGCGAGTCACCGGATGAAGAAGACAGGGATGGTCGAGATGGGAAGCTGAATTTTCTAATCCTTGGGGACAAGGAAAGTCTTGAAGAGGAGGGGAATGATACGGAAGTAGCTTTGGAGTCCGGCAAGTCCAGTAAGGAGCGAAAAGGCAAAAGGTGCGCATCGGCACTTGATGCGCACGAGTGGGCGAACAGGCCGCGCACGCGGGTTTGGCGGGGAGAACGCGGGCGCAAGATGGATGGGTGCGCGGGCGTACGCGGGAACGCCGTAGGCGGTCTGGGCTGGGATGGTAACGGGGACGTGCGGGGTTCATGCGGAGAAAGGATCAGGCGCCAAGGGCACGCATGCGAGGGCGCGGGCGCGCGACACAAAGCGCGCGAAAAGATCGGCAGGTGCGGGGCGTGCGCGGAAGCACGCGAGTGGGATGACGCGGATGGTGCCCTAGACATGGGAGGATTAGGCGACGCTAGGGCGCTGGGCACACACGCGCATGGTGGAGTCGGCGGATGGCGCGCGCGCGCAAAGGACGTCGCGTGGCGGGTAAGCGCGCGGGTTACCGCGCGCAACGAGGAGTAGGAATGGCGAGGCGGCGCGC